GATCTGATTCTAAATTGTGGTTGTGATTATGTTGGGTTTATCACAATTGAAAAAATTTATGAAAGAATATGGCTGAGGAGCCTACAATTGTGGGTGTAATAGGATTGTGGAGACTCCCAAAATTACAATATTGCAGCCGAATTATAATTAAGGATATAAATTTAAATATTATATTCTACATGTGATATAACATAATGATTGTGTACCCTATTATATATTCAATAAATTAGAAAGAAATATTGTAATATAATACTTATATTTCTAATGCAAAACAATATAATTTGTGTTTATTATGGTAAACATTGTTAACAAACTTCAGCAAATCCTTTATATACTATTTTAGAATTTCAATTTTACTTTTATTTGAGTAATTAATGTTATGAATTTATTTCATGTAGGTATGAATAAGGTTTTTATTTACCCATAGAATGGAAGCCTTAAGTTTTTTTTATAGTAACTTAACTATTGAAGTATAATTTAACATTGACAACTAAAATATGTAATTTATTAATAAGAAATATGGAAAGAAAAATATTTAACTTGATACCGGTATAGCATGGAATTGATAGTTTAAACTTTTTAATTAGGAAATGTTTATTTTACTTTAAAAGTTACCTCAATCTCTATCGAGGCTTATGTTATCACTATGCTCAAATTTTGAAGTGGTTATTTTTTGCTAGCTAACAATGGTATTTAAATCACATTGACTGACAATAAAGATGTTAATCTAACTTCTACATATGTTAATCTAACGTTGTTGGAACTTGTAAGTTAAGATTCTTGCATTATTTTACTTTTATGTTCTGGTCAGAAGCTGATGACATTTTTTGTAAATAAAAATTCTTTTCTTTATAGTTTTTCTATTTAGTATTCCTCATGGAGTTCGATGATAACTTTTGTAATGTGAAAATATTTTTATTTTAATGAATTCATTTTATCTTCTATCAAACCCAAAAGAGTTTTTATAGATATGAATCATTAATGGATGAAAATTAATGATTGGAAAATTAAAATAATTATGTATTGTATTTAGTCAACACGTTTATTGTATATAATCTACTACTTCAACATGCAAAATGCATTTATTAGTTTTGAAATTGTTTAAGTATTTTGCAGTAATAGAAAATTATACAAATTTTTAATTTTAAATTGACTATCATATAATAATTTTGATTAGGAGAAAATATTTTGTATCTATGTATATTGGAACAGTTGGTCAAAATTTTGAATTAACTTTGATTTTCTGGTAACCTTATGTCAATTAGATAATTAATATATTCCTTTTAGACATTGTTGTTAATACTGCAATCATTATCAAACCGATAAGGGTACTGTACAGTGGTATGACATACATATATAATATATTAACATTAATATTGAAAAATAAAATAAAAACAATATTTCAAAAAAAACGGTCATATGATTGTTACAGTTCAATTGAAAATCGGCTGGTACTACTAATTTTGGCGATTTTGACCGATAAGATTGTATAACATGCATAATTATGTATTGTACTAGTATTACGACCGGTTTACTTAATGAACTGCCCATCACGAATCAATTTTTATAATACTGCATTTAGATACAAAAATAGATTCTGAAGGTAGAAATTTAATCTAATAATATATTATAAAAAATTCAAAGAGTAAAAACTCCCAACAAAATTAATATTATTATACAAGTTATTAATATATTAGGGTACAGGATAGCAACAAATTAAAAATCAAAGTTATATTATAAAAAATATATTAATGTATAAATTTATTGACTTTTCTATATAAATAATATCACTACAAGAATTTTTATCTTTTTCCTTTTTAGTATTTATATCTCTATCAAACACTTATTTATTAAACAAACTCTCAATATGTTTTTAGTAATGGAGAAATCCTTTTATTTCGCACTTTCCCAAAAAGAATTGATATGTGTCACAAACTAACATTATAGAGTAGTTTCTTACTCAGATTTTAAGTTGACCACCAGTTACATGACTTGTTGGAGTTGCCACTATGTGTTAGTGGTCAAAGCATAGAAAACTCTCTTTATGCAGTACCACAATGGTCTTTAAATTAGAGATTTAGACTAAGGAGATGATTAAAGACCAATGAAGTTATTAGCATCTCGTCCGGCTATACTACGCTGTACCTTCACTAATTACATGAACTATTTTATGCTCTTTGTTTGATTATTTTATCCATTTATTTATTTAGAAATAAATTATTTTATTTCTATTTTTATGTCTATCTAATATTTTGCTCCTACATATTCCATAAGCAATAGGGGAGTAAGACTACATAGTTATGTGTTTAAAATGGTGGTTGATTTGATGTATTTTATTTGATGGTTTGAAATGAAGAATCAATATTTAATCGTAGTCTGCCATCCACACTTTAAGAGAATGCGTAAAATATAGTTATATTTCACCGCATCTTAACATAAGGATGGTGAAAGTGTGATGAAGAATGAGTCCACTTTAATCCTTTAAGTTTTTTTTAAAGAATACGGTAAGGTTTACAAAAATGGCTAAATATTTTTCATTATTTGCTCACTTATTTCAAGAGAGAGAAATACATCATTGTATGCTACCACATCTTAGCATACTACAGTGGTGAATATGATATTAATCACTACCATCTCATAAATCATAATTATACTTTGCTAATTGAGGAGAAGAACTTAATTTTGTGCCCATTATCTAATAAATAAAATGAATATTCTATTATTATTTATCAAAACACAAGTTCAATAAATAAAATATTTATTATTATCATTTCTGAAAATGAAAGTTAGTAAACTAATCATTATTTAACTATATAAAAAAAGAAAATATTTATTCTTAAAAATAAAATTGAAATAAATAAGTGGTGCAAATTCGAGCTATCCTCTTGAAATTCCCTTGTATTTCTCACTTGTGTTTTCAGTGTTTATGTATGTTTCAACTTAGGCTCATAAGGCTCTTTGAAAATATATATTCGAAAGATTTTCTTCCTGTACATCCTTACTTTAATTCTACTTGTTTTCAATTTTTACTTAGTGTAACAAACCGATAAACTTCTAATATATGACTTAAATGAGTTTATTTTTCTCAGTTTTTTATTATTCACTTTTGTATTTATTTAATTACTTAAATCAATTATTACAATTTTTTTATTTTTTCTATAACACCTCAATCCTGACATGCGACCTTCAGGCCCATGAATTGACTGATCGTGTTATTTCACCAGCTTAAATGTCCCCTGCAATATTGTATTCCCCACAAAGGGGAGTCTCTCGCAACTCGAACTCATGACCTCAGGCACAAATAGTCATTATTCCCATGAGTCACCTTTTTTTGTAAAACCTCAGTCGTGATATGTGACCACCTGGCCCCATGAATATACTAAGCGTGATATCCACTAAGTTAAATATCCCCTGCAATATTTTATTCCCCACAATGGGAGCGTCCCGTGACTCGGATCCATGACCTTAGGTAATGGTTTCATGTCGTGGGAGGCTCCCCTTTGTGAGGAATAAAATATTGCATGGGGTATTTAAATTGTGGTGGATAATACGCTCAGTATATTTGTGGGTGCAGGGGGTCGCATTATAGGACCGAGGTGTTGCATTTTTTCTCTACCTTTTTCATGGCTTCACAAAAAAAATCCATCTTATAAATCTATAATCTTTCCTTATGACAACTTTATCTATTTTAAAATTTTAATTTCAGTTTTAATTTTTCCTTTTTAAATTTATATTTCCTCTTTCAAATACTTGTCTTTTCACTTTTAGATGATATAATTGAATATACATCCTATTAAAAATAAGTTATTTTATCTTTATTTTTGTAAGTTCGGAAAAAAATTGAATGTAGAATCTATATAACTTTGAATTACATATTATTTGTTAATTTTATTTTACATAATAAACCAATTATATTTGAAAATTCGAATCTCATGCTATGCTATAAAAAAAATATTTACAATATTTTCAATAATATTTAAATATCTGGTATCTTTTATAAGTAAATGCGTATATAAATATAGAGTATGTAAAATTTAATTTACCTCCTCAATATTTATGTAATGTGAAATTTACACTCTAATATTTATAAGGGTGTATTTAACCCTTTAATGTTTCTTACGTGTTTAAATTACCCATTATACACTTTTCTGTTAAAGTTTCAATATTTAATTTTACATGTACTTATGAACTAATAAAAAAACATTTATTAGTGAAGGATTAAGATATAACTATATTAAAATAATCATTTTTAATTAAAACTTCGATAGGAAATACATGATAGAATTTTGAATTTAAAATAAATGTATATCCAAAAAGTTAATAAATCTATATTTATTACTCAAATATTAATATATCCTTATAAAATTGTAAAACATTTTGGCTATAAATTGCACCATGCATCCAATGGCTAATCACAACATCATTGCAAGAGAAATCAAAAGAAAAAAAGATATTCCAAACATGATGATGGAGAAAAACATTGCCGCTATTTTCATGTCAATGATGCCTTTGGCCCTATTATCCACAACATCCGATGCAAGTTGAATCAATGACATATCATGTCTTGAGGCTACACCACTTTTGTTGCCTTGCGTTCCATTTTTGAAAGCTACTGACGGTCAAAAACCATCTGATTCTTGTTGTTCAGCAGCTACTACATTTGTCCAAAGGGCTACTTCACCTGAAAATCGAAAGGAATTATGTCAATGTTTCAAAAGTGCTGCTAGTGGAATAGGTATTAACCCTGACCAATTGTGGAACAACCCGATTTCTACCCTTGAGATTTTTTTCATTCATTTTAATTCCATCTTACATACATTCATCATCTTACTTAAAACCTTCAGGAATCATTCCTTAAAAATACTCTTTACACCTATTATATTATCATATAATTTAAATTGCGGAAAAACATAATTCATTCATTATTATTCCTATTGGGTACTAAGAGCCCAAAAGTGATAATACTCCAAATATGACAATACTCATGGTTACGAATATCCAAATAAATGTCAGCCATGGTTACAATTATTCAATTCCACAAGTAGTCATTTAAAGTACAAAAACGCAAATAGTGAATCCAACGTCTAAAGCTCCTAAAGCTCCCGAACTAGCATACTCCATTCGTCTATTTACCTGCAATGGGATTATCAATGACAAAAGTACAAAACACACAAAGGAGTAAGTTGTTAATTCAATAAACGTCATTATAAGATAATCCACATTAGAAAAAGGGTTAGTAAACCATTTTCGAAATTCATTTTGTCGTGCTACATAACTTGAGCCAAAGTCTCTACACCCCTCAGGGTTAGCTAAAAGCAGAATCTCGTTTCTCTTAAAACAAATCACGCTTATATACTCAAGCTAGAGTTTACGCTTCTATACTCAAGCCAGAGTCGCTAACCATTCCTGGTCGGCTAAAACATATTTTCCTTTCATCGATCTCCTCATAAATCATTTTCATGCTTCTATACTCAAGCCAGAGTGTATGCTTCTATACTCAAGCCAGAGTGTATGCTTCTATACTCAAGCCAGAGTCGCTAACCATTCATGGTCGGCTAAAACATATTTTCCTTTCATCGATCTCCTCATAAATCATTTTCATGCTTCTATACTCAAGCCAGAGTGTATGCTTCTATACTCAAGCCAGAGTGTATGCTTCTATACTCAAGCCAGAGTGTATGCCTCTATACTCAAGCCAGAGTGTATGCTTCTATACTCAAGCCAGAGTGTATGCTTCTATACTCAAGCCAGAGTGTATGCTTCTATACTCAAGCCAGAGTGTATGCTTCTATACTCAAGCCAGAGTGTATGCTTCTATACTCAAGCCAGAGTCGCTAACCATTCATGGTCGGCTAAAAATGTACTTCTTTTTCATTTGTTTCACCATAAATCATTTTCGGTAAATCCACGCCCACATTAGTATAAACACACCCATATATGTTTATACTAAATACGTGATTTACACTCAATCATCGCATAACCAGAAAGTACCACATACTTTCCTTTCCGTAAATCTACGCCTACTTTAATGTAAACACACCCATATATGTTTACATCAAATGCGTACTTTACGTATCAATCATTGCATAATCAGAAAACTCACATTTTCGATTCCAAATGCTCAATTAAAGACTTATCCTTACCTCGATGAGTGTTGGGTTTGGTTCTTGGCAACTTCTCGAGTTCCACCGACACCGCCTCCAACCTTAGGATCTCTCTTCATCCCACCACATCACACAATGTTAGTCATTTATTCCAAATATCACATAAACAACTTATATTGCATCATTTAATCATACAAAATATTCATCATCAATATTCAACCATCTAAAACATGCATAATCTCATATTTCAATATTTGGGGTAAACTCATCTTCTACCTCTAACATTTTACTCATTCTCTCCTTTTACCACATTTTCACTTTTAGGGTTTTTGGGGTTTTCATGAATCAACCCACAACCTTTTCCATTCTTGAGATACTATCTCTAAACCAAGAGTTTACAAGATAAAAACAACATAAAACGAACCATAACTCTAACGGATGAGTTTCCATGGTTTCTCATATTTTGAAAATAGATCTAACATACCCAAAACAAGTTAGAGAGGAAGAAGAAGAGTTAGAAACAAGAGGTTTACCTCTTCGCAAGCTCTAAGATGAGTCCTAAGGCTCCTTGCTCTTGAAAAACTCCCTTCTCTCTCTTCTCTTCGAGTTCTAACCCTAAAATGTGTTTGGGGTTTCTATTTTTAAAGAGCAGTCGTCGGGTTCTCGCTAAAGCGAGCCCATTCTCGCTCAAGCGAGCCCATTCTCGCTCAAGCTAGCCCATTCTCGCTCAAGCGAGAATTTCACAGTAGCAATTTTCGCTTAACGCATATATGTAATCGATTACATGGATTGTGTAATCGATTACATAGTGTAAAATGCACATATCTGATGCTTTTATCTGCATGTAATCGATTACATGGATTGTGTAATCGATTACATCATGCATATCTGATGCTTTTATCTGCATGTAATCGATTACATGGATTGTGTAATCGATTACATCATGCATATCTGATGCTTTTATCTGCATGTAATCGATTACATGGATTGTGTAATCGATTACATCATGCATATCTGATGCTTTTATCATCATGTAATCGATTACATGTATTGTGTAATCGATTACATCATGCACATCTGATGCTTTTATCATCATGTAATCGATTACATGTATTGTGTAATCGATTACATCATGCACATCTGATGCTTTTATCAGCATGTAATCGATTACATGGATTGTGTAATCGATTACATCATGTAAAATGCACATATCTGATGCTTTTATCTGCATGTAATCGATTACATGGACTGTGTAATCGATTACACTGCCCAAAATTGCCATTTCTCGCCCGGGTGATACAACTCTTGCTCAGGCGAGAATCCTCCAGTATAGCCCAAGATTTCACCCTCCCAGATGCACCTCTCTCGCTCAAGCGAGAATCTCTGGATCAAGCGAGGCTTCCAGGACTGATACTCTAATTTTTAAAGACTAAAATTCGGGGTGTTACAAATTGAAACAACTTCCTCAATTGTGCAACATCACTATATCATTTCCTCTTGACCCTAATGTTGATTGTAACACGTAAGTTCTTCTTACTCTTAAATGCACATTAAATTTTACATTAAATTATACTTTAACTTTATATTAATTTAAAATTTCAATTTATATATATCATGTGCAGGATTGCATATTGATGCCTTCAAGATGCACACTTGTAGCAAAACCTTGAATAATATATTATCAATAACATTATGAATATGTTTTGAAGAATGAATAAGTTTGTGTAAGAAGAGTTTCGAGCTATACATGTCTTGCAAGTTAAAGAATAAAATAACAGAAAAAAGTTATCTATTTTTAATTTTTGAATCTAACTAACAACTAATACAAATTATATGGAAAGTGTGACCGTAGTATACCTCAATCCTATGACCTGGTTCTAAATTGTGCTTGTAATTGTGTTGGGTTTATCACAATTGAAAAAAATTGTGAAAGAATATGGCTGACGAGCTGTAACGCCTCATTTTTATTAACACGAAAAAATTTCAATTCTTTTTCTAAACGTATAATTTTCTTAACCGAGATAATCCATTAAAATCCGTTCAACAAAATCCACTTAGATATTGTATATAAAATGGTAGGAGGAATAACATAACAATTTTCCTACAATACCAATCCTTACATATTTTAATCGATTAAACCAATATCAAGATGTAAGTGAAAACTCCCACATACAGGTCCAATATCATCAAATGCAATTGTTTAAAATAACTACGAAAGCACACAATAATCCAAGCAAGCTAAGATACTCCAAGACTATGAAGTCCTCTATTCCTTGGCTTCACCTACACTCCGATTACCACGGATTGAGTAAACAAGAAAATATAGAGAGAGTGAGTCATTAAATTCATGCAATGATTGACATGGTGAATTTAAATAGAATAATAACATTAGAGATTTACAAAAAGAAAGCATATAACTGTTCCATCATAACCACGACCATAATCCATTTGTTCACTCTATCTCGGCTTAACGTCATATTCATCACAATATTATAACACTACTTAAAAACCACCAATACCCCAAGGGCATAATCAATTCCATACCATGAAAGAAGGTCAAACTCCATACCACGAAGGCAGGTCAAACTTCATACCACAAAGGCAGGTTAAACTCCATACCACAAAGGCAGGTCAAACTCCATACCACGAAGGCAAGTCAAATCCCATACCACGAAGGCAGGTCAAATCTCATACCACGAAGGCAGGTCAAATCTCATACCATGAAGGTAGGTCAAATCACATACCACGAAGGCATGTCAAATCCCATACCACAAAGGCAGGTCAAATCTCATACCACGAAGGCAGGTCAAACTCCATACCACGAAGGTAGGTCAAACTCCATACCACGAAGGTAGGTCAGATTCATAATCATAACATTTAGATACATCTGATGAGACTAACATGGTTAAATACGAAATATTTGGTCTCTCCCGTTTAACCATTTCAACCTATGGAAACCCTCCAACTAGTGAGTATCGTTGGGGTTCCCAATGGTATCATTTATTACCACATAGTCTAATGTTGCTCTCTCACCTGAGTATCCGCTAATGCTTTACGTTAAGTAGCTTTATTGCGTTCTCCGCTGTCTCCTCCAACCTTAGGATCTTTCAACCCCAAAACAACAACAATCGCAACACATCATTTTTCATGTCAAAACAACCATAATGTCAAGCAATATTCGAAACCCACAAGAAAATCAAGCTTAAATTATTCATTCCACCCATTATTTCAATAAAAGATTTTTTCTCAATATTTCAAATGACTCAATGGTTTTGAAAACAACATCAACCACACATCAATTTCGAAGACAACCCCTGCACTATGAATTTTACAAGGTTTTCCAAGATGAAAACGAACCACAACCTCAAGAGAGAGAGGGTTTATGGGGTTTTACCCCCAACCATGGAGAAGAGATCCAACCTACCAATCATAACATTCAATAATAAGGGGAAATTAAGCTAAGTGATTTACCTCTTCTCAATCCTTTCTTTCGACTCTAAGAGCTCACAACGCCTAGCCGCTTCTCCTCTCTTTTGTTTTCGAAAAAGTGACCCAATTCTTACTTGAGAGTTCTATTTTAGGTTTCAGAATTTCGTACTCTCGCCCGGGCGAGAAAAGGCTCTCTTGGGCAAGAATCTACAACTCCTCAAATCCCTCAAACATTGATGCTCTCGCTCAAGCAACGTTGTCTCGCCCAAGCGAGATTCATCCAGTCTCAGCAAAGCTCTCTCGCTTGAGCGAGAAATCCCTCGCCTAGGCGAGAATCTCTCAGCCTCGACAACTCTCTCTCGCTTAAGCGAGTATTCTCTCGTTCAAGCGAGATCGCCAGAAAAATCTCGGGGAAACACTGAGTCCCTCGCTTGGGCGAGACTCTCTCGCTCAAGCGAGAATCATCCAGTAGTTCCCAGATATCTTGAGATTCACAAGTCTCAAGAAAATGTAATTTTTGGGATGTTACACGAGCCCACAATTGTGGGTGTAATACGGTTGTGGAGACTCCCAAAAATTACAACATTGTAGAAAAATTATAATTAAGGGTATAAATTTAAATATTATATTCTACAAAACATGTGATATAACATGATGATTGTGTACCCTATTATATATTCAATAAATTAGAAATAAATATTGTAATATAATACTTATATTTCCAATGCAAAACAATATAATTTGTGTTTATTATGGTAAACAATGTTAACAAACTTGAGCAAATCCTTTATATACTATTTTAGAATTTCATTTTACTTTTATTTGAGTAATTAATGTTATGAATTTCTTTCATGTAGGTATGAATAAGGTTTTTATTTACCCATAGAATGGAAGCCTTAAGTTTTTTTATAGTAACTTAACTATTGAACTATTCTTTAACATTGACAACTAAAATATGTAATTTATTAATAAGAAATATGAAAAGAAAAAATATTTAACTTGATACCAGTATAGTATGGAATTGATAGTTTAAACTTTTTAATTAGGAAATGTTTATTTTACTTTAAAAGTTACCTCAATCTCTATCGAGGCTTATGTTATCACTATGCTCAAATTTTGAAGTGGTTATTTTTTGCTAGCTAACAATGGTATTTAAATCACATTGACTGACAATAAAGATGTTAATCTAACTTCTAAAACGATAAATATGGCCTTAAATAAATGTGAGCATAATTTCTTCAAAATATAGTGTGTAAAGTGTTACCGAAGAGGTTTAGCACAATTGGTAAAGAGATGTGTTCCGTACTACAAGCTATTTCAATATTTTTTGTATGGAGAAGAAAATTTTAATTTCGGAGGAAAAACTCACTTTGATCATATACACACTTAGAATGAGATAGAAAAAGTATTTTATTTGATATCTTGGTAGAATTGAGATTTCAATTGAACAAATCTTTTAGTTTAAAATGGAGCTCATAAGTGAGTTGTGAAAATTAAATTTAAGTTATGTGGAACACTCATCTCAAGTCCAAACTCATTTAGTCTCCCATTTTAGATTTTAGAGTCTATATATTTTTTAATATTTTTGGGTAGAATGTTCTTCTAATATTTTGTCTTATAAGATTTGTTAGCACTTTTTAGTATGAGATTACTTTCCATTAAAAATAAAGGTTCCTTCATCACAATTCAAAAGTCATTTCCTACAAGTTCACATATTTTACAAAACTTAATAAAACCTTTTTCAGGAGTTTGAATCCTTAACATCAAATCTAACTGGTCATCAATATGCATTGACCCAAATGGCAAAGG